TTTAATGTAAAGGAACAAACATTATGATGTCTAAATAGCTGTACGGAATTATGAATGAACAATATGAAGAAGGAGAGGGGGGTATGGTAAGAGGTAGAGAGAGGGGGGGGAAGGGACGGTCCAGATATTATGGAGAAGATAAGATAAGATTATGGAGGTGACCTGCTGGCGGCGTCTGGCTGGCTGGCTGGAGTGAGGTGACGCGGGAGGTTGGGAGGTAAGGGGGAGGGAGGGAGGGGGTGTGAGGTAGGAGCAGGAGATGCAAGGGGGTTAGGAGGGATGGGGTGGGGGATGGCAGGGTAATGATTCAGTTTTAGTTATATAGTAGTACTCGTTTCTAAGTAAGAATTCTACTAAAATGTATACAGCCTAAATATCTGTTTATTATTGGTAAGAACTCTAAAAATTTGAATTTCTCCTATAAGAACTCTTAACAAACTTCTATGAACTTATTTTCATCATAAGAACTATTAACAAACTTCTAAAATATCAGAAATTATTTTTCTCATAAGAATTCCTTAATTCCAAATCTGTGACTGCCCAAATTTGCCTGACACTCCAAAACACGAATTTGAATTTCTCCCATAAGATCTCTTAACAAACTTCTATGAACTTATTTTCATCATAGGATCTCTTAACAAACTTCTAAAATCTCAGAAATTATTTTCCTCATAAGAATTCCTTAATTCCAAATCTGTGACTGACCAAATTTACCTGAAACCCCTGACCCCATATAGGCCTCTTTTCCCGTAAAAAAAGAGGCCCATACGAGGTCATCCCTACTACTGTACACCACACAGACGGGTGGTGGATGGTACACCACACAGAGGGGTGGTGGATGGTACACCACACAGAGGGGTGGTGGATGGTACACCACACAGAGGGGTGGTGGATGGTACACCACACAGAGGGGTGGTGGATGGTACACCACACAGAGGGGTGGTGGATGGTACACCACACAGAGGGGTGGTGGATGGTACACCACACAGACGGGTGGTGGATGGTACACCACACAGACGGGTGGTGGATGGTACACCACACAGACGGGTGGTGGATGGTACACCACACAGAGGGGTGGTGGATGGTACACCACACAGAGGGGTGGTGGATGGTACACCACACAGAGGGGTGGTGGATGGTACACCACACAGAGGGGTGGTGGATGGTACACCACACAGAGGGGTGGTGGATGGTACACCACACAGAGGGGTGGTGGATGGTACACCACACAGAGGGGTGGTGGATGGTACACCACACAGAGGGGTGGTGGATGGTACACCACACAGAGGGGTGGTGGATGGTACACCACACAGAGGGGTGGTGGATGGTACACCACACAGAGGGGTGGTGGATGGTACACCACACAGAGGGGTGGTGGATGGTACACCACACAGAGGGGTGGTGGATGGTACACCACACAGAGGGGTGGTGGATGGTACACCACACAGAGGGGTGGTGGATGGTACACCACACAGAGGGGTGGTGGATGGTACACCACACAGAGGGGTGGTGGATGGTACACCACACAGAGGGGTGGTGGATGGTACACCACACAGAGGGGTGGTGGATGGTACACCACACAGAGGGGTGGTGGATGGTACACCACACAGAGGGGTGGTGGATGGTACACCACACAGAGGGGTGGTGGATGGTACACCACACAGAGGGGTGGTGGATGGTACACCACACAGAGGGGTGGTGGATGGTACACCACACAGAGGGGTGGTGGATGGTACACCACACAGAGGGGTGGTGGATGGTACACCACACAGAGCGGTGGTGGATGGTACACCACACAGAGGGGTGGTGGATGGTACACCACACAGAGGGGTGGTGGATGGTACACCACACAGAGCGGTGGTGGATGGTACACCACACAGAGGGGTGGTGGATGGTACACCACACAGAGGGGTGGTGGATGGTACACCACACAGAGGGGTGGTGGATGGTACACCACACAGAGGGGTGGTGGATGGTACACCACACAGAGGGGTGGTGGATGGTACACCACACAGAGCGGTGGTGGATGGTACACCACACAGAGGGGTGGTGGATGGTACACCACACAGAGGGGTGGTGGATGGTACACCACACAGAGGGGTGGTGGATGGTACACCACACAGAGGGGTGGTGGATGGTACACCACACAGAGGGGTGGTGGATGGTACACCACACAGAGGGGTGGTGGATGGTACACCACACAGAGGGGTGGTGGATGGTACACCACACAGAGGGGTGGTGGATGGTACACCACACAGAGGGGTGGTGGATGGTACACCACACAGAGGGGTGGTGGATGGTACACCACACAGAGCGGTGGTGGATGGTACACCACACAGAGGGGTGGTGGATGGTACACCACACAGAGGGGTGGTGGATGGTACACCACACAGAGCGGTGGTGGATGGTACACCACACAGAGGGGTGGTGGATGGTACACCACACAGAGGGGTGGTGGATGGTACACCACACAGAGCGGTGGTGGATGGTACACCACACAGAGGGGTGGTGGATGGTACACCACACAGAGGGGTGGTGGATGGTACACCACACAGAGCGGTGGTGGATGGTACACCACACAGAGGGGTGGTGGATGGTACACCACACAGAGGGGTGGTGGATGGTACACCACACAGAGCGGTGGTGGATGGTACACCACACAGAGGGGTGGTGGATGGTACACCACACAGAGGGGTGGTGGATGGTACACCACACAGAGGGGTGGTGGACGGTACACCACACAGAGGGGTGGTGGATGGTACACCACACAGAGGGGTGGTGGAAACAACAATAGAACACCCGTGACTGACACATAGTATTGTGTCCTTGCCGTGGTAACAGAGTTTTTTCAAATTCAAACTTTTATTCAGGTAAAAATATATACATAGATGATGAGTTACAAACATTATGTTGGATTTAAAGATAGAGCTAGTACACACAATACCTAAAGCCACTAATACGCATATAGCGTTTCGGACAAACGTATTACAAGTACTGGCAGAGTGGGCACCTCGGCCACACTATAGTGGTTTCGGAGGAGAATAAATAGGCTGACAACTGTCCTCTCGCTTAATTTATTTTACTCTGACATTACACAAAATATCTTTATATACTGGAAGCTGTCAAATTCCGTTGTTACGGGTGAGGATACTGGTCCAGTAGTATGAGTTGACGACACACAGGTGCAGGCCTCCACACACACATTACCAATATGTCGGCTGAAGATATATATGCCTTGTGCTTAACAACAAATAATTTACGCAGCCCAACACATTTCAAGTGATAAATTCTTATTTTTATAACACTTAGGTCCATATGACACGTGTCATCAGCTCACACAACTGCAGAATTCAAGTGTTATGACAAAAAAGGCCTAAGACAAGTGACATGATAGGCTTCGTTATTGTTGATGTTCTGACTGACAGAACACGTTCTTTTAATCCGGAGTCTCATGCACCAGTCTCACATAATGCATAAATAACAAAGACTTTATTGCAATATTGCCTTCAAATTATTGCATAGAAACAAAGGCGAGCAACATCCACTACGTAGTTTGCACAAATTATTTTTGTATTGTTTATTTTTTATAACATACATTACCTTAGATACAGCAACATCAATCTTTTAGTGTTACCACTATAAACCCCACTCCAAGCAATCATAAGAAAGCTTACAAAACTATACAATAAATGGTTAGTCCTATGTAGACGTCATCCTCAATATTTCCGGGTTTGTGATCATCTTTGACACCTGAGAGAAGATCCCGCCCATATTGGCCACCCCACGACGGTGGTACCCACACATGATGTGTGGTGGTACCCACACATGATGTGTGGTGGTACCCACACACGACGTACAGCGCGTGGTGGTACCCACATACGACGTACAGCGTGTGGTGGTACCCACACACGACGTACAGCGTGTGGTGGTACCCAGACACGACGTACACCGTGTGGTGGTACCCACACACGACGTACGTACAGCGTGTGGTGGTACCCACACACGACGTACGTACAGCGTGTGGTGGTACCCACACACGACGTACGTACAGCGTGTGGTGGTACCCACACACGACGTACAGCGTGTGGTGGTACCCACACACGACGTACGTACAGCGTGTGGTGGTACCCACACACGACGTACAGCGTGTGGTGGTACCCACACACGACGTACGTACAGCGTGTGGTGGTACCCACACACGACGTACGTACAGCGTGTGGTGGTACCCACACACGACGTACGTACAGCGTGTGGTGGTACCCACACACGACGTACAGCGTGTGGTGGTACCCGCACACATATCACAAGAACAAAAGGAGATGGCAATATTACATATTAGCAGCTGCGGTGGTGTGAGTGGCAGTATTTACATGCACACTTGTGAGTGGTTGAGGTCCCCACCGCACCACCCCGCTGGTGTTGGCCGGCAACCTTGCTCTTGTCAGGCTTCCTCACATCCCACACTCATGCTATACAACACTTCCATCTCATTACACACACAAATATATATATATATATATATATATATATATATATATATATATATATATATATATATATATATATATATATATAATGTTGTTTCTGCACAGATATATATATTCCGTTGGTGCTTAAGACTAGGCTTATGTTTTTAGTTGATATCGATATTATAAAATGAATTAAGAAGTGAGTTTCATGTATTCTTGCTACTATGGTCTTAGCACCATGTCTGCTGGGGATTATTGTGGGTACTTCATATACTGTGTATACATTTGTAATCAATTGTTCTTGTTGACAGTGTTACTAAATACAACCGATGATTCCAGCATGAATTTTCTCCATATTTCTCAGGTTCTTCTTTACTTGGTAAGGAAATTTACAAATAAGCTCTCAATTAAGATATTTTCACAGCTATGATGGATATGACTGGTTGTGCTAAGCCGAACTTAACCTGCTCAGGACCTCGGCAGCACACGGAACATGAATACAAATTAAGTATTCAGTAATATGTGTAGCCATTACGGGTGAGTTAGGTGACCGATGGCCATGACCCCACACTGAGTGTCACGCGGCATGATGAGTGGTGGGAGGGCCATGATGAGTGGTGGGAGGGCCATGATGAGTGGTGGGAGGGCCATGATGAGTGGTAGGAAGGCCATGATGAGTGGTGGGTGGGCCATGATGAGTGGTAGGAAGGCCATGATGAGTGGTGGGTGGGCCATGATGAGTGGTGGGAGGGCCATGATGAGTGGTGGGAGGGCCATGATGAGTGGTAGGAGGGCCATGATGAGTGGTGGGAGGGCCATGATGAGTGGTGGGAGGGCCATGATGAGTGGTGGGAGGGCCATGATGAGTGGTGGGAGGGCCATGATGAGTGGTGGGAGGGCCATGATGAGTGGTAGGAGGGCCATGATGAGTGGTGGGAGGGCCATGATGAGTGGTAGGAGGGCCATGATGAGTGGTAGGAAGGCCATGATGAGTGGTGGGTGGGCCATGATGAGTGGTAGGAAGGCCATGATGAGTGGTGGGTGGGCCATGATGAGTGGTGGGTGGGCCATGATGAATGGTAGGAAGGCCATGATGAGTGGTGGGTGGGCCATGATGAGTGGTGAGAGGGCCATGATGAGTGGTGGGAGGGCCATGATGAGTGGTAGGAAGGCCATGATGAGTGGTGGGTGGGCCATGATGAGTGGTGGGAGGGCCATGATGAGTGGTAGGAGGGCCATGATGAGTGGTGGGAGGGCCATGATGAGTGGTAGGAAGGCCATGATGAGTGGTGGGTGGGCCATGATGACTGGTGGGTGGGCCATGATGAGTGGTGGGTGGGCCATGATGAGTGGTGGGTGAGGCTGTGTAGAGAATTTAACAGTATCTGAGAGTTGTAACACTTCCATAATATGTGCCGGAAGAACCTGTCATGCACGAGACATATGTCTCACAGTTACATATGGCAAGGACCATTAAGGACCATTAGAGCAAGGACCATAACAGTTAACAACACAATCAAGATTCTTAGCGAAGCAAAATTCAAAGGTTGGCCCACCGCGGTATCGGCAGTCTAACTAATCAGTTATCATTATCAGCAAGCTGGTGTCCCATCTCTTCCCCCAATCAAAAATAGGTCACAAGAAAAAATATATTATTCTACTAACATATCTAAATCTAATACCTCTATTCTCTTCATTAATCCTATGTTAAGCGATCAAACCTACATCATCTATCTTCACCGAGAAGACGGCCAGCTGAGAGCTCGCGGCCTCTCAGGTGCACCTTGTGAGGCTACCATTGTACGGGGCCAGCTGAGAGCTCGCGGCCTCTCAGGTGCACCTTGTGAGGCTACCATTGTACGGGGTCAGCTGAGAGCTCGCGGCCTCTCAGGTGCACCTTGTGAGGCTACCATTGTACGGGGCCAGCTGAGAGCTCGCGGCCTCTCAGGTGCACCTTGTGAGGCTACCATTGTACGGGGTCAGCTGAGAGCTCGCGGCCTCTCAGGTGCACCTTGTGAGGCTACCATTGTACGGGGCCAGCTGAGAGCTCGCGGCCTCTCAGGTGCACCTTGTGAGGCTACCATTGTACGGGGTCAGGTGAGGAAACAAGTAGAATAAAGGAAAAGGCAAGGGGGATAAATAGGGGTTTAAATAATAGGGATTCATTTTGATAATGACAAATAGGGATTTAAATAATAGTCATAGTAAATCGTCATAGTAAAAGACTCAGATGAACTAATTGATCTAAAAAGCCATCTAGAGAGAGAGTCAGTACTCCGATTTACACATGAAAATAGTGAAAATAAGTCTGCCATTCTTGGATGTACTAATAACAAAAACAGGAACCTCTTTAAGCACCAACGTATATACTAAGCCCACCAACATAGGATTATGCCTGAACGGTAGAAGTGAGTGCCCCCAAAGATACAAAGCCAGTGTTCTCAATGCTTATATTCGTCGAGCGCTTACACACTGCTCTGAATGGAGCAACGTGAGTAGAGAGTTTGAAAGAATAACTCAGGTATTGGTGAACAACGGATATAGCAACGCGGAAATAAACACCGCTATAAGAAGACACTTGGACCGTTGGTATAATCCTGAACCTTGAACACAAACCACAACACCTCCAATAAAATTATACTACAAATCAACTATGCACAGTGAACATAAAAAAGAAGAAAGAATAATGAAGGAAATAATTCGTAAAGGAGTAAAAAGCACTGTTCCTAACCAAAACATAGACCTGATCATATTCTATAGAACAAAGATGACTGCCGGCCTCCTTATTAAAAACAGTCCGAAGCCGACGGTGAAACCTTTACAGCAGTCAAGCGTTGTATACATGTACACCTGCCCCCTCACGAAGGATGTAACCTTCAATCTAAGTACATAGGTATAACGTCGACCAAGCCGATCGAGGCGTTTGACATGCCATCTGCAATCCGGTGCCCCCAAGAATCACACGAGACAAGTCCATGACATCACCCTAACAAGAGAAAGGCTGAATAAAAACACTTGTATAATAGACAAAACCCAAGATGTAAGAAGATTATAAATTCTTGAAGCAATCCACATAAGAATAGAACAACCTACCATGAATACTCAAATCACGGAACTATTTACTCTACCCACCATGAGAGTAAGGACATGACCGGAACATAACGATGCCAACACAGAAGATACTGTTCAACATAATAGGCCTATTATGCCCAATTAATCTTTGTATGTGCTTTATCCCCTATTTATCTCCCTATTTATCCCCTTGCCTTTTCCTTTATTCTACTTGTTTTCTCACCTGACCCGGTATTTGTATAAATGTAACGAGATCTGTAATTTCTTATCACTTGAGAATGAACCATGTATGTTCGAAACGTTGTGCAATTGTATAATAAGTGTAATACATTATATATATATATATATATATATATATATATATATATATATATATATATATATATATATATATATGTGTGTGTGTGTGTGTGTGTGTGTGTGTGTGTGTGTGTGTGTGTGTGTGTGTGTGTGTGTGTGTGTGTGTGTGTGTGTGTGTGTGTGTGTGTGTGTGTGTGTGTGTGTGTGTGTGTGTGTGTGTGTGTGTTTGTGTGTGTATGTGTGTATGTGTGTGTGTGCGTGTGTGTGTGTGTGTATGTGTGTGTGTGTGTGTGTGTGTGTGTGTGTGTGTGTGTGTGTGTGTGTGTGTGTGTGTGTGTGTGTGTGTGTGTGTGTGTGTGTGTGTGTGTGTGTTTGTGTGTGTGTGTGTGTGTGTGTGTGTGTGTGTGTGTGTGTGTGTGTGTGTGTGTGTGTGTGTTTGTGTGTGTGTATGTGTGTATGTGTGTGTGTGCGTGTGTGTGTGACAGATCGCAACTCACAGCAACCATAACAATGATATCTCGGCAGCGGGTCAAAAGAGCAGAGCTCAACCCCCGCAACCACAACTAGGTGAATACACACACACACACACACACACACACACACACACACACACACACACACACACACACACACACACACACACACACACACACACACACACACACACACACACACACACACACACACACACACACACACAATCACGGAAGGATAGACTGGGAGAACAAGGAACCGCATGGAGGAGAGGAAACATGGAGAGCTAAACTATTGGAAGTGGCAACAAAAAACTTTTTAAACCAGCATGTCAGGGAACCCACACGAATGAGGGGAAATGATGAACCAGCGAACCAGACTCGACTTAGTCTTCACTCTGAACGACTCCGACATAAGGGAAATTGATTTCGAGGCCCCAGTAGGAATGAGCGATCACAGTGTACTGACGTTTGAGTATCTGGTCGAAGAAGGGTTAAAAAACACAGGAAGGGTACTGAAAGCAAAAGGCTAGCATTCCGTAAGGGTAACTATGAGGAGATGAGAAAATTCCTAACAGATATAACATGGGAAACAGAGCTCAGGGAATGATGGCCCAAGATATAATGGAATACATCACGCAGAAGTGTAAGGAAGCAGCAGAATAGTTTATCCTGGTCCAAAGGAAAAAATAAATGAAATGCAGCTGAGAAACCCATGGTTTAATCAGAGATGTAAGCTAGCTAAGCAACTAAGTAAAAGAGCATGGAGAAACTATAGAAATAACAGGACACTTGAAAGCAGAGAAGGTTACCAGAGAGCCAGGAATGAATACGTCAGGGTGAGAAGAGAGGCAGAAGGACAATATGAAAACGACACAGCAAACAAGGCAAAGACTCAACCTAAATTGCTGCAGAGCCACATCAGGAGAAAGACATCAATGAAGGAACAGGTAATGAAACTGAGGATAGAGGCAGAGAGGTCCATTACAAACGAAAAAGAAGTGTGCGAGGAACTCAAAAAGAAATTCCAGGAAGTCTCTACATTAGAACAATGAGAAGTTTCAGAGATAAGAGAAGGAATAGTTAACCAGGCACCACTAGAGGAATTTGAGATTACCAGTGCGGATGAAAGAAAGCTTTTGCTAGAGTTGGATGTGACAAAGGCTATAGGCCTGGATGGAATATCGCCATGGACACTAAAGGAAGGAGCAGAAGCACTGTGCCTGCTACTCTCCATGGTGTATATCAAATCACTGGTAACAGGTGAACTGCCAAAAATTTGGAAGACGGCAAACGTAGTCCTGATATACAAGAAGGGGGATAGACAGGAGGCACTGAACTTCAGGCCAGTGTCCCTAACTTGCATACCATGCAAGTTATTGGAGAAAATAAATTGTGCGAAAAAAGCTAGTGGAACATCTGGAGCGAAGGAACTTTGTGACATAACACCAACATGGTTTCAGGGATGGCAAGTCCTGCCTCACAGGATTAATTGAATTCTACGATCAGGCAGGAAAGAGAGGGGTGGGCAGACTGCATATTTTTGGATTGCCAGAAAGCCTTTGACACATTACTACATCAGAGACTAGTGCGAAAGCTGGAGATGCCGGCAGGAGCGAAAGAGATGGTACTCCATTGGATAAGGGAGTACCTAAGTAACAGAAGGCAGTGAGTCACTGTGAGGGGTGAGGTCTCAGACTAGCGAGACGTCACCAGTGGAGTCCCGCAGGGTTCAGTCCTTGAACCCCATACTGTTTCTGATATATGTAAATGATCTACCAAAGGATATAGAATCATTCCTCTCATTGTTTGCTGGTGATGCAAAAATTATGAGGAGGATTAAGACGGAGGAAGATAGTATATATGAGGCTACAAGATGATATAGACAGACTGAATGAATGGTCCAACAAATGGCTACTAAAGTTTAACCCGAGTAAATGTAAGGTAATGAAACTAGGCAGTGTAAACAGGAGGCCAGATACAGGATATAGAATGGGAGATGAAGTCCTTCATGAAACGGACAGAGAGAAAGATCAAGGAGTTGATATCACACCAAACCTGTCTCCTGAAGCCCACATCAAGAGAATAACATCTGCGGCATATGCGAGGCTGGCTAACATCAGAACAGCCTTCAGGAACCTGTGTAAGAAATCATTCAGAACCTTGTATATCACATATGTAAGACCAATCCTGGAGTATGCGGCCCCAGCATGGAGCCCGTACCTTGTCAAGCACAAGGCGAAGCTTGAAAAAGTTCAGAGGTATACCACTAAGCTAGTCCCGGAACTAAGAAGCATGAGTTACGTGGACAGGCTGTGTGAAATGCACCTCACGACACTGGAAGACAGAAGAGTAAGGGGATACATGATCACTACCTACAAAATTCTCAGAGGAATTGACAGGGGTAGATAAAGATAAACTGTTTAGCATGTGTGGTACGCGAACAAGGGGACACAGGTGGAAACTGAGTACCCAAATGAGCCACAGGGACGTTAGAAA